AAAAGATTGTGACGTATTTAATATTTAGGATTGAAAAGAATTGTGATACGCTGATTGTGACTTATGTAATATTTAGGAATGAAAAGATTGTGACGTATTTAATATTTAGGATTGAAAAGAATTGTGACACACTGATTGTGACGTATTTAATATTTAGGATTGAAAAGAATTGTGATACACTGAGTGTGACGTATTTAATATTTAGGATTGAAAAGAATTGTGACACACTGATTGTGACGTATTTAATATTTAGGATTGAAAAGAATTGTGATACACTGATTGTGACGTATTTAATATTTAGGATTGAAAAGAATTATGATACACTGATTGTAACGTATGTAATATTTAATTGCCTTTGAAACTTTTGGAGTATAATTTTCATGCTTAAAAGTTCATTTATTTTAAGTTTTTTTGTTTATTTTTTACTTATAGAGAAACTCGAAAGATAGATAACGGGTATGTGGGGGGGGGGGACAAAGGTTGTTCTGATTTATTAATACGACGTTGCACTGAATTAATTTACTGAAACGCATATTCTTTATTTAATTATTAAAATCCTGAATATGTCTAAAGATATCCTAGTACAAGATGTATATATTTTTGTTTTTATTGTTGTTTACTCCCTTGATTTTCGTTTTTTGTTTTTTTTCCTGAGTGGTTATAAGGGTAGCTTGATTTGTTTTGGATTTTTACGCAAAGCTACACAAGGGGTATCTGCACAAACCGTCCATAGTCTGAATTAAAGTTGGAAGATGGGGAGTGAAAGAAACTTTTTTACAAATCCACTAAAAAGTGGGTTATTCATCATCAAATGATTTGAACTAATAGACTACAAGGAAGATTGCTAGTCAACAGCAGTCACTCACCATCAACTGTTGGGATACTTTAATCAAACAATTAATTAAAGTATGAAACACAATTTTTGTACAGCAACGGGACACTAACAATGGACCCTCGGGTACACAATCCGCCATACTAACCTCTAGGCTACACCGGGCACATACATTGTGGCAAAGAGATATTATTCTGGCTGACGTTTTGGTTATGGGGGTTAAAGTTTTTATCTGGATCAGAATTTGGAATGTTAGGAATATGTTTGTTCTGTAACCATGCAGCTACTTTAACTAGCAGTAGGTGTTTACCGTCTCATTTATTTGACAATATGAACACTTGAAATTCATCAAAGTTTTCAAACTTTTCACGCATACACGAGTATGTAGATATAAAAGTGGATCATTGGTCAAGGAATGGGGCTAAGTTCCTTTTGGTTTACTTACCTATTATTCTAGGCCATTCCCCTATGGTTCCATGTCCACTTTCTCGTGGAAAAGATTGCTATAAAGTAAAATACTTTCTGTTAAACTGTGTAGCGATCTTTCCCACTGGTATGGCTTTAAGATGTATAGCACTGTAGAACTGTGTATACAATGTTATGTTTTCACAGCTAAATCCAGTAAAGAAACTGGCTTTTTACACTGCGCATCTATCATGTAGATTATTTTGTGTTTTGAATAAAGATTGCTTTCACTGGGTTTATAACAATCTGTCCAGCTTCTTTTTTTCTTACAATTGAGTCAAAATCAGTATTACCCAGTTTCTCTTCACAATATATATATAATTTTCAAACCTGTTGTTAGAGGGTTCTATTAAATCTAATGATAGTACAACACACATATGTCAGGCTAACCACATCATCATCAAGTAACAGGTAACAATACAAACTATTATAAAAACTTCAAAAACTAGTAATTGTTAAAACAGTCAATTAGATCTGGACTTGTCCATAAAATAAATTGACAGAAACCCTTGGATGTCCATTTTCATGCTTGCTTTAGATTTTGAAATAAAAAAGGTTTTTACTTTCTTTAATTCATCATATTTGTTTATATGTATCTGAGCAATATCAATATTCATCTTGTAATGATTCACTTTGGCCTGTTTATAAAAAATATGGAGATCATTTGTTTGTTTGTGGAATTTTGTGAAAAGCTACTCGAGGGCTATGTGTTCCAGCCATCCATAAATTAAAAGTAATAGACAAGAGGGAAGGCAATTAGCCAACACCATCCATCACCAACTCTTGAGCTACTCTTTATCAACAAATAGTGGGATTTACCATCACATTATAACACCACCACAATTGAAAAAGCGAGCATGTTCGTAAAGGACTTGAACACATGAATTGCAGATTGTGAGTTGAACACCCTAACCTCCAGGCCTACTTGGAGGTCAATGTGTGCGGGTTTTTAAACTGAGCATTCAAATCTCCCCCAGTTGTCTCTTCACAGAATCAAAAATAATATTAAGTTTTTATCTAAAAAATGTTTACCAAATACCTAAGAACATGCGGGAGTTTTCTCAATTCTGTTTAATTTATCAGATCGAGATTTATTAACTGCTATTAACAATTACTTTTTAAAACTGCATAACTGGATGTTCTTTGGGGTTTGTATATGAAGTGCAAAAATGTCTGGTTCGAATAAAATTAAGAGACTGGGTACATGGTTTCTAGTAAATAAAATGTATATTGAACAAAGTCAAGAAGCATGATTACTTAAGATGAAAGTTTGAATATTAGCAAGAATATGGTTGTTTTTCAGGTCGACTATCCTGAATATGATGACTGCTGAGCATAACTTCATTAGATGATCACAAGAGCAAAATTTCAAATGGACAGTTTGTCTCAGCCCCGATATCACAGGTAAAGGCCTACAAGTGTATGCGGGCATGACACCAGAAGATGCCATGGACTATGACAAGTTAAAAGTGGGCTTGCTGAAATACTATGAACTTACCGAGGAAGGCTTTCACTAGAATTTCAGAGAAGTCAAACCTGACACTGAACAAACTGCATTTCAGTTTGTGCCATGTTTACAGTGATATTTAATAAGGTGGACTGACACAGCCAAGTGTAAATATAGTTTTGAAGGATTGGCAGATCTACTAATATATGAACAGTTTATGATCATGTGCTCCACTGACATGTCACTGTTTCTAAAAGAGAGAGCGTCAAAAGACGTGGACGAGATGGTCAAGCTGGCAAAACGGCATATGGAAGTCCAAGGAAGGAGTATAACTGGCAAGTCCAAGAATAACCAGTTAAAGTAGAAACCAGATGTGGCTGACCAGAAGCAGGATGCCACCAAAGGTGAAAGTAGGTCAATAGATAAAAGGGAGAAGAGATGTTCTGCTTGTTACAAAATGGGGCACACTGCGAATGAGTGCAAGTCTGTCACCAACAAGCAGCCACATAAATTTCAATGTAAAGTGGCTGGAACTACCCAAAAAGATGATGTGGGCAAGAAACAGGAAAAGAATGAGTATTAACATGGATGTTGCTGCCAAAAGAAACATAATAGAGATAACTTGTCAGATTCACCACAAGAAAGTGCTATCAGCTGATAATCAGCTCAAGTTATCAAATGGATCAACAGTGCCAGTGATGATTGGATCATGCAACAAACATCTAGTGGTGCCAGAAAACCACAACATGCCAGTAGGTGAAGGCTATGTTGGTTACAAGAAAGTTAAGGTATTCAAGATACTGGATGCAGCAGTGAGAACCAGTCTAGTATCTGACGACCAGATGACGGGCAAGGTACATCTGTGTGCGCTGATTGATGGGACATTGAGAAAGTTTCCCATAGCAAGAATAAAGGTGGACACTCCATACAATATGGGAGACCTTGAGGCCATGTGTATGAAGACACCCATCTATGAATTGGTAATCATCAATATACCAGACAGTAGAAGTCTGCAGGAACCAGACAGAGAGGAGACTGATGAGGCATCTGCAGTCACCACAAGAGCTCAAGAGAAGAAAAATAAGCAAGACATCAAACCCCTGCAAGTCTCGAAAGGTGAAATCCCGAATATAGATCTATAGGAACTGAAGAGAGCACAGAAGAAAGACCTTACACTGCAGAAACTTTGAGACAATGCCTACACTTAATTTCTACAGTCACTTTAACTTAAACACACGCTATAATTCACAATGATTTACACACTTTACTTACGGCTTGACTCGATTATCTGTCTATATATTCAATCTCTCTGTCTGCTTTTCCAGTTCCGATTAATTGGCTCGCCTTATCTGGCGCGCTTATATACAGGAATAGAGGGCGTCTAGCAAATACTGGATTATTCGTGATGTTCCACGATCTTTCTAGAAACTCATCACGTGTTACCAGAGTCACGTGACTTCTGCTGTCGTAACAGTATTTATAACATTTTAACCAATGTGATAATTTGGAACACCACAAAAAGAAAAACAAAACAAATAATACCATATATATATATATATATATATATATCATATTAATTCGGGCCAACAAGGGATCTATTGGTCCGTCTAGGCTGTCCTATCACTAAATTAATAAAACTAAACAGTAACAAAAAAAGATACACACTTACAGCCAGCATTCATCATTCAAGTATTTATCAAGCCTTCCCTTAAATTTTCTCGTCCCACCAAAAATGTTCGCCCTTTCAGACGTAGAGTCGTTATAATATGACGGTCAATCCCACTATTCATCGGTAAAAGAGTAGCCCAAGAGTTGGCGGTGGGTAGTATGACTAGTTACTTTCCCACTAGACTTTCACTGGTAAATTAGGGACGGCTAGCGCAGATAAGTCTTGTGTAGCTTTGCGCGAAATGAAGAACAAACCAGAACCATTAAACTCCTTTAAATTTATTGCATCTTCACATCTGAAGACAATTGATTCTAATGGTGAACCACCATGTTAGAAGACAAAATACTTAGTTGAAGCTGACTCCTACTCTGTGAAAATTTATATTTGTGTCCTACCATTCTCACCATTAAGTACGAAGAAAAAATAATGATGCAGCGACATTATCAATTCCTTTAATAATCTCAACCACCTTAATCAGATCCTCCCCAACACTCTTCTTTTTTTCAAGAGAAAACAATTTCAAATGTTTTAACGTGTCTTCGTATAACAATCTTTTCATCTCAGGTATTATCACAGGAGCCCTCTTCTGAACTTTTCCCACCAATTCAATGTCTTTTCTAAGGTAAGGAACACAATGCTCTACATGTGGCCTAAAAGGGGACCCATACAATGAAATCATAACCTCTTTAGACTTGCATTTCATATTTCTCTAGATGCAACTTAAAATGCTATGTGCGCTACCACTAGCAACAGCAGAAACTACATCATATAAATAACATACTCATGTTCTTTATAAATATTTACTATTTCAAGATTCCTTCGAATGAACGTATTCATATAGTCTGTACACAACAGACTATATGCGCTTTGTCCACCAAGGGTAATTGAACCCCGGATTTTACTATTGTAAATTTACCGCTGATCTACTGGGGGACAAGGAAGAAGAAAGCTGCAACATTCTGCGAGGACTGGAAAGCCTTAACAATAATTGCTTATAACGCGCTCTCGTGGCAATAGTGTACAATTTTCATGGCTATATACTATAAAGTTAAGAGCGTTTAGATAAAAAAAAAGAAAAGGAGAAAAAAAAAGGGGGGTCCAGTAGGCTTAGTAAACATTTCTGGAAATGATAATGGTAAGTACATAATATATCAACTTTTGAATTTAACAAGAATTTTAAGAAAATAGTTCTCATGGAATGTACATTAACTTTTTAATTACGTTTTAATAATATCTTTTGCAAGCCTAACAACAGTTCTTTATTTTTAGCAATTTAGATGAGGGCATTGGGTCTCTACCGTCAACATGACACTAGAATGACTAGATGTTGTATCATCGAAAACTGAAAACGTAATTTGCCAAGAGCTAGAGGTTGCTCTGAGAGGAAACAGAGAAGTTGTAGAATTTTTCATGCTTGCATTTTTGCGATTGGAGAACATAGTAGAATTCCAATTCAAAACTCGCTGATCAAATTTTAAGCGAGTACATATCTATATCTAATTTTCTTTCAGTTTCACGGTAAGTATAGTGTGGTATCTAGGGGTTTTGAAAACAAAAAATTTTTTTGCAAATATGATGCTATTTTTAAATTTAAAAAACTGATGTTGCATTCTTTTTTTTTTCTAAATCAGTAAACAGTCTTAGGCCAGAAATAACTTATATGTAAAGGAAAAGAAAACTTTATGTAGAAATGTTTTACTGCCTAAATTTTTTCATACACACACATAATCTCGAATTGTGTTAAATTTAAATAGTGTTTCAAAGGTAAGAGGGGACATGAAATTAACAGCCTATATTAGTGTTTGAGAAGGAATAAGGAGCACAATACTATGTTAAGATGGATAAAGGAAGCTTTAAAATATATAGAGAAACACAAAAATTGTCTGAATGTAATCGCTCTTTCGTAAAACATTGACCATAACCATTTCAAACTTCTCCATTGCAAAAATAAAATAAATAAAGCACACAGATAATAGTGTTTTGCTGTTGTTTTTAAGAGGAATTTTCAATGTAAATAATAAGCTATAGTTGTAAACAAAATTCTTATTTTATTGTATTTTCTGGACTAGGTTCTTCAGAGAAGTAGGTAAGTGTGTTAGGAAACAAAAATATCCATAAAGAATCTGATAACACATATTTGAGCATGTATATAAAACAGAATTTCCAAGCATTCTTTAGAAAATATACAAAATAAATGTTAAAAGAATATATAAAAATAAACATTTGTATAATGGTGGTGGTGGATATTGGCAAACAAAATTGCGTATTAATTGGCTAGTAAAAACACTTAAATCTTGGTATTGAAAGGGTTGTGTTTCTACCCACATAATAACTTATAGCAACAGAATAAGTGAACTAACATCTAAAATCAGAACGCTTGGTTTGTGAAAGCGTGTACACTGTAAAACGCACCTGAGTTTAACCTTAATATATAGTTAATGGATATGGTATAGATAATGCACTCTACTTGTAATGCCTACAGCAACATTGATAAAAATGTTTTATTGATAAGTTTACCTAGGCCTATGTTCATGAAAAAATCAAACAGATTAACAAGTAAAACTTAAATTTATCAAAATTGTAAATGGTTTCATTTATTAAATGTAGATGCCTGACATTACATTACAGATACCAGCAAATCAATTGAACAAGATTGTCATATAAGTTCTTACTGAAAGGTTTATTTTTTAAATTGTGTCTTCTCTGCCTCGTAAAGTTCAAAGGATAAGCCGTTAAAACACATCTTTGCTTATGAAATTTTCTCTAATATGTGGTAGTTCAGATAAGAACAATTCAATATATTCATTTTCCTATTTTAATCTCCTTTTTTTTCTGTGATTTATAATAATAATAATAATTACTTGTAATATATTAGTACATGTGCTATTTTTAAATTCTTTAAAGGTTATTGTATAACCTAGTTTTGTGAAACTAAAGCTTGTAATTATTCTTAAAAAGAGTTTATTTTCAAATTAGTCTTATTGCAGACTGCTGGGTTTTTACTTGCTAGTTGCCAGAGTATTACTTGTCAAAGGAGAGCTTTTGCAGTTGATGTTTGCATTTTGGGCACTTTTAACTGGTTATTTGCGCTTACAGTGGGGTTTCTGTGTTTCGATAAAAACTTTTATTTTGAGGGTCGTATTAGAAGAGGTACTTACTTGAAGCTTGAGCCCATAGGCCAAAATGTTTCAATTAGCTGGGGCTCTGAATTCAAGTTCTCTTTAAAATACAATGCTCTTTAGTTCAATTGTATAGAATTATTAATTTTCTTGCAATTAGAGTATGTTAAATTAAACCATATATTTAATCCCACACCAGATCCAGTATTCTGATTATCATCATCTTGTGACTTTCAAATGAGCTTATAATACTGTTAGTTAGAAGTTACTGGATAATTAGTTTAAAAGAAAAAGCAGTTCTGGTAGGCATAGTAGCTCAATTGTGTTCTAGAGGTACTAGTTCAAGTTTGCATCAGTAAAGATTGTTTTAAGTTTATCTTTAAAAGATTTTAAACAGTCCGACAGAAATATTGAACTTTCTAAACATTTACACTGCCTTGTATTTGTGAGATTTTTTGTTTTTATATTAGCTTATAGGTGAAATAAAGGGGATAAATGTTTTTAAAATCTTTTTGTGTTCATAAAGTGTTTGCATTTTGTTCTTTCTTGCTGTATTTCATAATCTCGTCAGATGTAACACAGATAGATCACTTCTTTTAAGGCAAATGGTAAAATTATTTGTTCTTACTTATATTTTTATTATTGCAAATAAAACATTAAACACAGAAGGAAGATCAAGGTAGATAATAATATTACGCATAATCTACAAACACTTAAGGATGTAACATGATGTGGCTGCACCTTGCATCTCGTTGAACACCGTGTATGTCAGCTGCTTTTTAATGATAGATCTAGCTACACTTCAGGAAATTACAATTTGGAACTAATTACATTGCCATGATCTTATAATTTGTTGCTTTCATTAAAAAACGTAATCATGAAAACAAGTGCAATGTCGTATTTCATTTTTATGCGAAACGTTTTGGCTAAGTAATTAAAATTTTCAATCCATTTTTCTGGGTTTTAATGTTTTCATAACTACTTATGTTACTGAAGGAGTGAGTTATTCTGTCAAATATTAAAATTATGTTGTTTAGTAACAGTCGCATGTTTTACCATATATCGTGTATGTTCAATGAACTTTATTAGTTTCTACAGACACAAATTTGTACCCCAGTATATGCAAATATAGTTATATTCGGCATTGGCAAACACACTTAACCTTTCTCCTTTAACTTTCGACATCAGTAAATGTTAAATTACAAGGATAACATCAAAATACAAACCCAGTACATATCTCCACATAATTTTAAGATACTATAATTTGTATTCCACACTTAAAGATCTTATTCCATCTGTGACTGCTGTTGTGCAGTTTTATTTGCATTTAGCCTGAGTGTTTATAATCCAAGACGTTTTATGCACAGACATTTTGAAAACTTCTTATTTAGTTATTTGTTAGCTACCTCTTTGTGTTAAAACAATGTGATATAACAGCAGCAGATATCAAAGGACCATTTGGTCCTTCGAGACTGTCTTTGCAATCCACACCACGAAAAGATAAAAATTTAAACCCACCCTTTAATGTTCAGGAAATTATCAATTCCTTTCTTAAATTATTATAAAGTACTGGCCTTTACTACTGCCAACAGCAACGCATTCCATAAGTCAAGCACCCTGTTGAAAAAATAAAACTGTCTTAACTGGAGCCTAGCTTTTCCAAATCTTAAAATTATGTCTTGTCATCCTATTATACTCATAATATATCTCAAAGAAATCATAGGTCTTCATCCTGCTGATCTCTAATAATCTTGTGAACTTCAATAAGCTAGAACAACTTTTACCCTTCTCGATTCAAGAGAAAATATATTAAGAGATCTTAACCTATCACTGTAAAAAAGAAACCTCCCATCTCTAAGATCAGCCTAGTAGCTCTCCTCTGAACTCTTTCCTATAAGTCATTATCCTTTGTGTTGTTACTTATCCTCACAAAAGCTTTTCACCTTGAATTATTATGAACTAGATTGTGCTCATATGGGTAGATGATCCCTTGTAGATATTGCCATTATGCATTATCACAGGGTGAAATTGTTGCTTTGGGTGTATCAAATACCAGAGCACCATCTTTATATTCACACTAACTATTCCTTTTTTTTTATTTCTAGGTACATTTGTTTTGACATAATTGTTGCACTTTTCATTTGGTGGATAAGACGCATTGACTGTTATGAATAGTTCAGGCCTTGTTTCAACCTTGGGTACATCCCTGTGTACATTTCCTTTTTTTTCTTACTATTTATTCTTTAAGTCATCGTAGGTTTCTGTTTAGTGAAAAAAGTGTCGCAAGTACCAAGTCTGTAAGTCATTACATCAGTTAGTCACAGAATGGAGTAGATTATTTTACACCTTTTTTCTTATATAGGGTGGTCTCTCTCACACACGTCACATGCCCATTTTAACCTTCAATGATTTATAGTAGCCACAGCAAACAGCCAATTACACCATTTCTTGATAGAGAAGGATGTTGCCTGGCAGGAATATCTGAACCCTTTCTTCTATCAGAGTAGATATTCGAATTCTTTACTCTACAATTATCGACTTTACCTTTACTTATTTTTCTAAAGTACTCGTGCACCAAATGTGTGGGTTTGTGACATACGAGTCACACAAATTTTTTTAAAAACATTTCAAATACCATTTCTATATCAGTTAATCCCACCATTTGCTGCTAGGATCCCCGATGTATTTTACTAGAAAATGAGTTAATATACCCAAGTATTTTGGTCAGTTACGTACACTGGGTGTTCTCACCGTTTGCTGCTAGGATCCCCAATGTATTTTACTAGAAAATGAGTTAATATACCCAAGTATTTTGGTCAGTTACGTACACTGGGTGTTATAACATACAGAATCATGAAATTACTCAATATGATGCAATGGACCAAACCACTTGTGAATCGTATAAAAATAAGTTGGTAATTTGAGAGCTTAAGAACATTAAAAGTAATCAAACATATTAAGATTTTTTTAGTGTTAAAATGAATTTGAAGTACATACTATTCTCAACATAGGGGTTCTACCTCCTGATAGAATGAAGTCTTGAATTATGCGATTAGACTACTTGGAGTTTGTTTACGAACGTTAAATAGGACTCATGGTTAGATCCAATTTCTCACATAGCGATATTATTTCCTGAATTAAAGGTGAGTAAATATTGTGGTAAGATAGCATCTATGAAATGTTACAAGAAAGTCTTAAATCTACACTTAAAAATCAAAGATAGCATGATGTAACATCATACTCAATACCTTGTAACAAATAAAATTATCTAAAGCCTTTGCTTATTCATTGTTTCAGATATTTTTAAAGTGTTAGTGAAACTTTAACAATGATTACCTATAAAAAAAAGAACACAAAATGAATTGATAATTCCAAAATTTGGGACAAACAAGTGAGTAGAGATTAGTTGGTTATTTTGTGTTATACAAAAAGGTAGAGCTGGGCCATTAACTCGAATAATCAATATAATCAACTGTATCAATTAGTTCAATGGAAAATAATCGATTAATTGAAATTATAATTAAATCAATTAATGTTATGAAAATAATCAAAATTAATGTTTCCAATTATTACTATTGTATTCCAACTATCCAAGTAACCAAAATATTGTCATTATAATTCCTTGTTATTTTCATTTAAATCAAGTTTGTTCAGTTTTGTTGATTGATGCACAACTCACAGAAATAATCAACAAATTTAAATTAGTGTTTCTCATTAGTACTACTTTCGAGTGGTTCAAATATCCAAGTCTTATGAGAATTAGATGAACTTAAATCGGTTAATGAGCCCTGTGATTAATCAGTTATGAGATTCCACTAATTGCCAAGCAGAAAGGCGTGTCAAGTACTTACACAAATTTTTCCATAGTTTCATTCATACCCATAGAAGTGTAAACTACATACATTAGAATGAGCAGTATCTCGATACTGAGCAAAAGTTAATTTGCATTAATGATAAATTAAATGCTTGAATTGCACTGCATTACCGAAAATTCAATAGTTAAGGAGACAAAAAATTGGGATTTGATGATAGTTGAACGTCATCTTAGTACTGTGGCATCAAGATGGTAAAACATTCATCACATGATACCAAATTCTCACTGTACAATAACAGTTTCTAATGTTGATATCTAGCAAAGTGCATTCCAATCATATTTGTTAGTTTTGGGTAAACTATGACAAATCACAGAGACAGGTGAGTTTCTTCCTAAAGTATTTGTCATGTCATAAAACATCATAAAGCTGCTGAAAAAAGTATTCATCATGAAAGAATGAGTACAAAGGATCACCAGGAAAAAAAAGTAAATTATAAAAGCACTATTCTTCCTCAGGAGTGAAAATATTAAAGTACATATCACATGAACAGTAAGTGTGTGTGTTGAGGTGGCCTTGACATTTCCAATACAGGGATCGAAATATTCCATTTCCAAATAATTTAACCTTGCCTGAGGAATTTCATCTTTTTAGTGGGCTTTTCCGATGCAAGGTCCGTCCGTATTCTTTTAGTTATGACTAATGAAAGAACATATTGCATGGATTAAATATAAAAATAATTCATGAAAAAATGCAACTTTACATGAGGGAATGCAATCTTCCTGATAGCTGTCCCTTGAGTGAATGTAATTTTATATCATTATTTCTGTCCCTACATTGCCTAATGTCACACCCTTATTGAATCAGATTTGGTTGGTTGTCATGGCTACCTCAACAAACACTTCCTTTTCATATAATATGTATTTCTCTTTTATATTTATTATCAGTACTATTTAATCTTCAGCCTTTTGTCGCATGAAGAATAATTAGTCAACTTTTGAAAACACCCAAGTTTCTTGGCCTTTTGAAGTCTACAGTAAAAAAAACTGTGACTCAGTGAGAATGACTCGTGTGTTTTTGAATTTTTAACAGTGCTGTATGTTAATATTTGTAACAATAAGAATTTTAAACAAAGGTAGAAACTAATTTCTTCTTAGTAATCTGTGTAATACGAAGTACATTAATGATGAATAATTGTACTTGATTTATATTTCTTGATGCAATATTCATGTTATCTGTATTCGTTTTTTTTCTTCTAATGATAAGAATTGTGGTGTTATATGTATATGTAAAAGGTGTTAATTCAGCTCTGTGCCTTAATCCCAGAAATTTGGGACTCTTGAAGTATTGAATAATTACCAAAGTTTGATCAATTAATTCTAATGAACACATAATATAGTAATGGTCAGGTCGTATCACTCCTATGCCAATATGGCACATAGGATCCAGTGCTGAACTCTGGCTAAATTGGCACTAACAGATGAGAATTATAACACATTTCCCAGTCCATTGAAGGTTAACCTCTAGCTAATAGCTTGGTAAACCAAAACAATTAGGGTAAAAGTGCCTTGCTCAAGGACACATCATCATTATACATGCCTGTCTTGAACTCGCAACCATCTGACTATGAGTCCAATGTGTCATGCTACCCCCACATATTATAGAGCTTTGTAGAAACTAAATTAGTGCAATTTAGGTTCTAAGTGTACAATATAATCATAGTTGTGTAGCTACAGGAACTTTCTTGCTTCATTGCAATCAATATATCTAGGTTCTATGTGTGCAGTATTATCACAGTTGTGCAACTATAGGGACTTTCGTATTGCAGTGCAGTCAAGTTTTTTAATTTTAAATAAATTATGCCTGTAATCAATGTATTATTGTTAAATTTTGAAGGACTTATACATCTGTTTCTTAGTCACAGTGGCATTCAGACCAGTTATGTTGGAATTTCTGTATGCAATACTGTATTACTGGTGGCAAAAAATTAAGTTTCTACCTCTAAAAATCCTTCTTTCAAACATTATATGAGTTGAGCTTGTGTGTGCTCATGGGTTTTTACTTTGTGCTTTTTATTTTTGGTCATGGTTTTAAAATCCAGTGCCAAACTCCTCACCCTTTCAGTTATGGTGCCATTATAAAATGAATGTAAATCCCACTATTCATTGGTAAACAGTAGTTCAAGAGTTGGCAGTGGGTGCTCCCAGCCGGTTTCCTTCTCTGTGGTTGGCAACTCAAAACTATGGGTGATGACAGATAGCTTTAGTAGCTTTGCCATGAACAAATGAACATGTTCTTTCAATAAATAAATAATTTTAGGCTTGTTAGGCTGTAGGCCAGATGTAGCCTAATGTTTATAATGTACAGACTGTGAATTCAAGTGTTCATGATTTGCATCACATTGCCACAAAAGTGCACTCTTCACTTTGGGATCGTGGGTGTGCTACAAGATTGAAGATCAGCATCTATTTTTGTAAACTATAATTTTTGTATTTTAATTGTTGTAATTTAAGTCCTTGCAAGAGAGTGCATTACATAATGGTAAAAGTACATTCGTAAAAATAGGCCTAGAATACCTGGAAAGTTCACAAGGATATCAAGAGTCTAGTAGCTTCAACTAACACCTAGGTATGTGTGCATTAGTTATAAATACAAGAAAGCAGTAAGTTAATATCAATGTCAAAGTGAAGTACATAGTGTGAAACATTCATTAGAGTATTTGTAGTCTTTTTAAGTTAATCAATCGAGGAGTTTTATGTTTGTTTATTATTCAAAGCCAACTTGGTCATAGTTATCTTAGTTTCAGCATTCCTGTCAAAAGTGAAAACGTTATCTCAACTTAGGCCTACAACTTGTTTCAATGTGAATGTAGCCTGTAGAAAGGTTTGAAATTAATTTTCTGTCATTATGTGAATTGGACTTTGTATTACTTTCACCAAATTTATTAACAGAACCTGCCAAATGATAGAAAAGATAAAATACATTATAAAACCATTATTCAGTCAATCAGAGTTGACAGTGGATACTTTTGACTTGCTGCCTTCCCTCTAGTCTATCAGTTCAAAATTAGGAATGGCTGTGGACAATTAGCTCTTGTGAGCTTTGTGTGAACATTCTAAACAAACAATTGTTAGGTCGCAGTTTAAAAAAATAATTATGATTTCTGCTTCTGATTCTAAATTTACTTGATATATAGGTACATAAGATAAACTGTAAAGTAGGTCAAACCTGACTAAAAAATAATGATAATGTTTAATGAATTAATAGATATGTATATTCTCTAGTACCAGCGTTCTGGAATACATTGTCATCCTCTAATAGGTACCAGTTAACTTTTATACTGGGGAGACCATTTAGATCCATACCTAGGACCTATGTAGTATTTATTTGGCCTCCTGTAGTTGGCCAAAGTATTGGTAATGGTGTCAGATAATTGAATAACATTTAAATTAAAGGTGCAAGAGTAGATAAACTGTTAACATAATGTTTAGGGACAACAAGGGACCTATTGGTCCATCTGGGATGTCTCATCTTCTAAACCAAACTAAAATTACTAAATATTAAAACCTCAAAGCCAGCCCTTATCATTCATATATCTATCAAGCTTTCTCTTAAACTCACTTAAATTTACTGCCTCCACAACATCTAAATACAACCTGTTACAAAGGACAACCATTACATCAACACTATCAATTCCCTTTACAATCTTAAACACCTCAAGCAAATCCTCTCTAACTCTTCTTTTTTCAAGAGAAAATGATTTCAGAGATCTTAACCTCTCCTTATATAACAACCACTCCATCCCAGGCACCATTCTAGTAGCCCTCCTCTTAACCTAAACCCATAAGATTTTCAGTTAATTAATAACTTGTTAAATCACGTTTTGCGATACTTTTCTTTAAAATTGTATGAAAAACACTTCTGCCACCCATCCTCCTATATCAAAGGACAATCTTCTCTTTCCTGTATTTATCCTCTGACATCTTGTCTCCTATTTTAAAGAATTTGACTTTTTTTCTTATGCTAAACATTCTAAAATAAGGTAGTATCTTATATTTTCTACAAAATTTACTACAAATGTGTGTCAGTATTTATCCCACAACTTGTAAGAATCCATCATCCAAATTGGTGAATCTTTTTTTTTTTGCCAGATGTTTCTAGAATGTTTGGCTCCCATGATGTAGGGCATCCTTTTGGATGTCATATTCATCATTTGAAATAAAGATGCAGGGCATCTTCTGTTTCAATTTAAAAAAGGTTGCAATCCTAACTACTGGGTTTGTACGCAACTTGAAGTTCGATATGGTAGCAATTTTTGTATTATCCTTAAA